CGCTCTGTCTGTCTCTCTCCTTCCCTCCCTCTCTCCCTCCTTTTCAATAGCAAATAGAGATCCTTTAAAAGCACCTTAGACAGAGAGAACTCTCTCTCTGCCTCCCTCCACCCCCAGCTTCCTCCTGGCCCACCATGGCCTTTGTAACCTTTTCCCCTAACCTTTGATAAGCTTTTATTATGACCCTCAATACATCTACATACCCTGCCTGGATGCATCCACATGGGGTAAAAGAATCTGGAATTTCTGTTTATCAATGACTACAACACTTCTTGCTGGGGTCTGGGTACAGACACCCTGGGTGGGTAGAGTCACCAGATAAAATGTGGGGTTCCCAGTTAGGGATGTATTTCAGATAAATAAAGAATATTTTAATATAAATAAGTATGTCCATGCAATATTTAGGACATTCTCATTTAAGTGTATGTTTCTTTGTTGAATCTGGTCCCCTTATCCTAGATCTGGTTGGGCCTAGCATTCTGGTCACTGAGGGTAAGGTGAGCATCATTTTGTCCCTGGGTCTTTGCCAGGTGGATATTTTGAACCCATGGAGATTTTTCCTCCATTTTTATATTTACCAAGCATTTAAGTAAAATATACACATTAACTAATTTCCCCTGGGAAAGCATTTTCCAGAACAAATCAGACTAAGCTAGCTTAATGTCTTGGTACATTTTCTACAAGTGTAATTAAACTTCTCCTTTTTCTTTCTTACCATCTTTTGAAACTTTACCAATGAGAATATTAGTAAAGTCTTTATTTTTGTTGAGAACAATTATTTTCACTTAAATTTCCCAGCACAGATTTGGCTTTTAAAATTTTTTTTGATCCACTTCAAGCTTTATCAAATATCACTCGTTGGCATTTTGAGTTACCTTTCATGGAATTATTTTAATTAAGTCCGATTTTCATAGGTCAATATTTATAGTTACTGGCAAGATTATTCTGTTTTTAATTTTTTCCTTCCTTCCTTCCTTCCTTCCTTTCTTCCTCCCTTTCTTTCACAGTACTGGGAATTGAACCTAGGGCCTAAGCAAGTGTTCTACCACTGAGTTACATCCCTAACCCTTTTGTTTGTATTTTATAACTTTGACAGGATTGGCCTTGAACTCTAGTCCTGTTTCTTCCTGGGATTACAGTCGTGTACTACCATGCCCAGCTGTTTTTAATTGCTTTAACAATTTTACCAGGTGTTTCAGCTTACTTTTATCTTTATTTCATTTCATTAAATAGGTAATTATGTATTATTTAGTTTTTAGTTTATTTGATTTAATACTTATTTTTATCATTTTATGGTATTTCACCAATAATTACATATCTAAACAACTATAAGAGTGACCATTTATATTTATTCCTTAGTTAATCCTTAAAAATTTCTACAGCACTTCCTTTCCAAATTGCCTGCATTGCTCTAAAGCTGTGGTTCTCCACCTGGGGTGCCCTTTGGCCTCCTCAGGAAAGTGCTGATGCCTGCCACCCAGTGCAGCACTCTCACTTGATCCATTTAGAGCTCAGACGTTGGTGTCTTTTAAAATCCTGGGTCATGTTAAGAGGCAGTCAGGATTGGAACATTGTTCTAAACATTTAGAGCTGCTCCATCCAATACAGTAGCCACTGTCCATAAAAAGCTTTTTAAATTTAAGTCCCTAGAATGAAATAAAGAGCCACTCCAATAATCCTAGTACTCAGGAGGCTAAGGCAGCAGGATTGAGTGCAAGGCCAACCTGGGCTACATAGTGAGACCTGTCAAATAAAAAGAGAGAGAGAGAATTGGAAAGTGGGAGAGAGAAGAAATGAGAAGGGAGGGGACAGGAAGAGGATGGGGAAGAGGAAAGGGAAGGGAAGGGAAGGGAAGGACAGAGGTATGGGAAGAGGCAAGGCTATACAGAATGAGAGAGGCCTTGAGGGGAATTCTAGTTGCAGATGGAAGAAGCAGAGGATGGAGGTCTGGAATGGAGAGCAGAGGTGATATAGAGAGAGAGTGAGAGAAGGAGTACCTTGGGCTATGAGCTACCTGACTGGAAGAAGGGCCCAGGGAGGATAGTGATGAGCTTACAGAAGACACCTAGGAATCCTAGAAATGAAGCAGGTGGCCCATGATAACCTGTGGTCCTCTCTAAAACCTACAGAAAGGCATGAGGACAGTTATATGGCAACAATCACCATCACTTCCTGACAAGAAAGTGGTGACTTGAGGGCAATGAGTAGTGGTTCAATGTAAAATGTTCACTGAATTTATTGGACTTTTCTTTCAAAATCTAAAATGTCACATAGTTGCTCTTGTCACTTCCTGGTCATTTCTTAATTTTTCAGGTGTAAAATTTCCAATGCTTCCAGGCTCTGATCCTTTTCCACTTTCCCTAAGTAGGGTGAAAGTGCCTTGCAGTCTGATCATGGGAGCATTACAGAACTACTTTGCGAGGACCAGGTCTCTCCCACTGCTCTTGACAGGGTCACCCCTAGGCATCGCACCAGACACTGTAGAGAGCTCCTTTCAGTCATTTCCTCACAGGGTACTGTTGCTTTTCTTCAGATATTCGTGAATGTACATTTAAATTTCTACCTACTTTAACTACATTTTAATTTTTAATTGTTAAAAATGCAAAATTGAATGCTTAGAAAAAAAAAACTATCCAAGTAGTTATAAGAAAGAAACTTCTGGGACATTATTAAATTTAGTAAGTTAGCTCTTCTGCAAATTGATGTTTGGGGAACTGATTTCTAGCAAGCTGGCCTGTAGTGAACTGGCCATATGAGGAACTAGTTCTCAGGGAGCTGGCTGCCTCCATGAGATGGTGGGAGAACCCCAAAATTCAATGTACCCAGCTTCTTCCATGCAACATATGATTCACAGGGCCATGACAGCCCGTGTGTGTGGCCTGGTCTACTCTCACCCTGCAGGTCCAGCCTAGCCCCTGAATTAATCCAAATATATTCACAGCCCTGCCTTTGTGGTCTCAGAAGCTTCCCCATGGGGCTTCTAAAAATACCAAATATGATAGCGAAAATGAAATGTGCATTTCCTCTTTGTGTCCGCGGTAACCAAACTTTCACCTTTGCCTCGCTAAATTCTCTCAACTACAGGGAAACAACTCTCCAGAGGGCCCCCACAACCAAACACTGGGGTTTCAGGAGCTTCTAAGAGGCACAAAGACCTGCCCTGCAATCACAGCTCCATCACCGACCTTTCCCCAGTCTCTGGGAGACTCCCTTTCCTCATCCATAAGAATGCCAATTATAGTAATAGTATCTAACCAATGGGAAAAGATCTCGTCTATAAGGCTCAGCACAGAGACAGCACTTAGTTAAGCTTTGGTAAGCATCAGCTTTCTGGTTTTACTATTGTTATCTCCAGCCTGACACTGGAGACACCCTCCCGATAAAGCCCTACCACTCCCTTCTGGCCCCACTGCTCCCTGCTGGCAGGGCTGCATGTTGTGACTCTGAGTCTCCCATAAAACCTGAGCCTTGTGCCCTCTATATCCCCACACTGGAACATCCTCCCCTTCTCGCCTCTTCAAAGCCTACCCCTGCCTTTGAGTCAGTGTGGGGCCCCCCTCCAGGAAGACTTCAAGGTCCGCCCAATGTCCAGAGTTGCTTCCTCCCTTGCCTTGACTTCCACAAAGCCTCTGTGTGGGAAGGTAGCTTGCCTGAAGTGATTCCAACCCTTGCCTCTTGTGCAGCAGGGATGGCTGAGCTCCTGAGTTGAACAAGCAAGGCTCAAGAGGCCCTTGGCCTCTGGTGGGGGGTAAATTTTAAGAACTTTTGTAATCCCCAGTACATCAATAATAAAAAGTAATAAATAGATAAAATTTCCAATTAAATAAGCAATCATTAATAAATTATAAAAGAATTTTTTTTAAAAAGAGCCCTTGGCAGCAGGCTTAGCCCATGTCACACTCTGCAGCCCACCTCCAGTGAGAACGTTCTCACATTCCTTGAGACACTATACCCTGTACCCTTGGCCAGCAGAGCCACAAAGAAATGGAGACAGATTTCAATTCCAAGCTTTTAAGATTTCAAATTTTGCAGGTTTTTGGAGTCTGAGACCCTCCCTAGTTCCTAAACATCCCTCCTTCTCCTCTCTCCTCCCCCACATCAAGGTCACACAGCCAGGCCTCCAGACTTCAGACACCAGCTGACCCAGTTCCCAAACAAAGGCTCCCCTGTGAGCAGGTCACACTGAGCAAGCCCATGCCTGATTCTTAGACTCAGACTTCAGTAAACAGTGTCAGGTGCATGAACCCACCACACTGTGTGGCCACCAACACAGTTGTGTTGTCATGCCCATCTGGGACCACCAACCCTTACCTGCAAATCAAGACTTGTTGCCATGTACCCTCACAAGGCTGCATCTCCTGTTCCCCAACACCCACAATCAACAATCTCAAGGTGGGTTGGTCTTACCCCCCTCACCCCCACCAGCAGCAGATACAGAGCCATCTATTGCTTGCCTAGAGGGAGCCTACTTTTGCCACCATGACTTTGCTTCTTCTAGTCCCATGCCTGGCAACCCTCCCCACTACATACATGAACTAACTCAACAGAAAGCCTGCCACAGAGATCCAGTCTGTGACACCCCATATTTCTGTTCTGACTTCTGCACCATGAATCTCACCTCGAGTCCTACTTCTTCCACACAGCCCTCCTTGAGCTCTGCTTTGCCTGAAGTGTGAGCGCTGGTGCCCTCACAGCCCAGGCTGGTTAGAGAGGGAGCCCCACCTCAGGAGCCTCTGGGCTGGAGCAGGAGACAGGGAGCCTTCTCCTCCCTCTCCCTGGGGCACACACTGCCTGTATAAACTCGTGACACCTGATCCTGCAGCCTGGGCAGCTCCCAGTTGTATCCACCACTGAGTTCCTGAGGCCACAACTGGGTTTCTCCCAAGCATCTACCACTGGACCAGGCCCAGGAGAGGAGGTCCTCAGTAAATAAATGCTGAAATGTGGGACCCACAAACCTACCTGTACTTTTAAGTCACAAAGGGTCCCCCTCACCTCACCTGTTTCTCCCCATCGTCTCATGGTCCTTGACCACCACATGAAGCTCAGAGCTCTGGTCCAAGGGGATGCCCTTGAGTGTCTAGTTACCATTGTGCCCTCAGAGCACTGGAGCAAGCAACTATGAATGAATCTATGGTGAGCTAGGGTTGGGGGTGGATGATGGACAGATGGATGAATGAATACCAGAGTTCCAGAGCTTCAGAGGTAACAGGGAGAGCTGAAGTTAACAGAGGAGAAGAAGAAACCACCTTCCTAGCCTGCTCTCCTATATTAATTCCAATTCATTCACAGGAAGCCAAGCAAAAACATAGCTGGAAAAATGCCAAGTGACCCTGCAGGCTCCGCAGGAAATAAGAGCAGTGTGCTTGTTGAAAGCAGCAGAGATTGGAGGGAGGGTGAAAAAAATCACATACCTCATTCCACACAGGGTTCACACTGTTCTTGATGACCTTGGTTCTCTTCTTCACTCCTGCAGGAGACACAAAAAGTAGAGTAGAAAGACACATCCCACCATGCACTGTCTACCCAGTTGGATTCAACTCCTGAGACTGATGCCCTAGCTTAGCTGCCAAAGGAAATCTCACAAAATCACCATTGCCTGTGAATCCCACCAAGGAATGCCCAACGCCACTCATACAACTTCTCTCTCTCAGCTCTGAGACCACCAGACAGCAGCCTGATCAAAGGATATTTTTAAAAGAAAATGCCCAGGCTGGCCAGGTACGGTAGCTCTAACCTGCAATCCCAGCTAATCAGGAGGCAGAGACCAGGAAGATACAGTTCCAGGCCATCCCAGACCAAAAACAAAAGTTAACAAGACCCCCATCGCAACCAATAAACTGGACGTGGTGGTGTACACCTGTGATCTCAGCTTCCTTCCTTCCCAGGAAGGAAGATTGCAGTCTGAGGCTAATCTGGGGCAAAAACACAAGATCCCACAAGAAAAAATAACTAAAGCAAAAAGAGTGTGGTTCAAGTGGTAGAGCGCCTGCCTAGTTAGTAAGTGCAAGGCCTTGTGTTCAAACCCCAGCTACTGCAAACTCGAAAAGAATGCCCAAGGACTGGCTCTTCATATTATTGTCATTCCTGCCCTTTTTTTTCCTGTGCAGTGGATCAAACCAGGCCCTCACATATGCTAGACAAGCACTCTACTGAACTATATCCCACCACTCCTGACCTTTTAAAATCTTTTTTTATTGTAATTTTTATCTGAAAATAACAATCTTCCTGGAAAAAGTATTCACTTTTCTTTTAAAAAGACAGTCACCTCCACACATCATATCATTGCATTTGTACAAAATGTCCAGAATAGGCAAATCCAGAGAACGGAGGCAGATTTGTTATTTACTGGAGTAGAAGAAGGGAAAGGAATGCGGGAATAATTTGGTTAATAGGCAAGAGGGATTTATTTTTTGGGCAAATATAAGTGTCCTGGAATTTATTATTTATGGATAATAGCTATATACAACATCTGCAACCCCAAATCATCTAAATTGTTCACTATTAGAAATATGATTAAGATGATGAGTTTATGGTATGTGGAATTTTACCTCCATTAAAACAAAATTCCTTCCCCGTCCAAAGCCTCAAAGTGAGCTGTCCCACGGAAGCTCTATCTGGCTTTGAGGGCTGAGGGAATGCAGAAAGACTTTGAGGCTAGACAAAAAAGAAGAACTGACACTGACAGGACCCAAATGACATCCAGGCCACTTCCTCTGCCCTCTTGGATGCCTGTCCCCAGTCGTGGAGCAGGTGAAGCCCTGAAGGAAAAGGAAATGGTACGGGGAGACCTCCATCGAGTGCCAGGCTCCATGACTCTGAATGGAAGATTATTATATAAGAGCCTGGTCCTGGGAGGAATGGGCCTGAGTTGAGCCTCTGACCTATGGCTGGCCTGGGCAAGGCTTTCCTCTCCTGAGTCATCCACAAATGTGTTGGCAGAGTGTTCCGCCTCCCTCTGAGAAGATACATAGTGGACCAACAGGAATCATAGGTGAGGAGGGTCCCATTAAGCCCAACAGATGCAGACCCTCCTTCACTGATCCATAAAGAAAACCATTACTGAGGGTGCCAGAGAAGGAGAGAAAACATCTAGAGAAGCATGGGCTGCCTGCTGTGCATTGCATTAACAGGGGCACAGAATGGACTACACATGTCTGACTTCTCCAGTAAGCATCAGAATGGAAATTGCCCAGTGCTCAACAGACGATGGAATACAACCTCACCTATGCAGGCTCCCTGGTGAGAAGCCCTTGGTCTCTACGGACTGCTTCCAGCTTTCAGAGAGTTCACCGTAGACCATGAATGCTCCAAAACATCTGGAAACAATCTCCAGGAGCCCCAAGCCCCCCAAGTTGAGCACTGTCTCAAGTGCTTATCCAGTCTGAGGGGTGCAGCATCCTAGAGCTCAACCCCATCCCTGCCAGGATCAGAAGCAGGGAGAGGTGGAAACAGAGAGGGATCATGGATGTGGGCAATGGCTTGTGGAAGATTTTGGAGGAGAAAAACAGAGAGAAAACCATAGGAGAGACATCTTGGGAGGGGGGCGCTCAAATAGATTCTAAAGCAAATATTTTGCAAACAGATTGTTGCTCAGCCTGCTTGAGTCACCCCTTACAAGATTCTGATAAGCCCTGCCCCGCGTGGGAAAGGGTGAGCCCCCAACCCCCTTCCCTCCTGGTTACAAATCACTGATGTGTGACAAAGATGGTAGTGACTCTGGTTTTGTATCTAGAATGGGACACAGACCAATCATGAAAATATCTCTTTCCTGTTGGTTCCTTTAGGACAGCAATTCCAAACTTTTGGTCCCAGGATGTCAGTATTCAAAATTATTGTGGACCCCAAAGAGGTTTTATCTAGGTGACTTTTGCCTATCAAATTTTATCACATTAAAAATTAAGAAACAGCCTTTTCCATTTCTAAGTGATGTGGTGTGGGGTTAAAAAAATTAAATTAAAACTGAGATATTTGAAATATTATATTTAGAATTAATTTTAAAATAATATAGAAACTCAATACAGGTTAACATAAGGACATTTATCTATGAAAAATAACTAACTTCCAAAACCAATGAAAAAGGAAAGTGCACTCTTTTGCATTTTTACAAATCTCTTTAATGCTTGACTGGAATTATCATATTTATTTCTTTATTCAATCTGTTAACATACTTCCCATTGGTTGATGATACCTATGAAGAAAATCCAGTCAGATATTTAATTGGAAAATGGGGCATATTTTAATGCCCCATTACTTTTTTAGGTAATTGTAAATATTCTTTGAAATCCCATCTAAACACAACAAGTCGTATGTCTTAAATTTTTGGGGGGGAAAGGGGTGTTTTTCCTTTGTCTTAAACTTCTTAAAGGTAAGTGTCAATGTGTTATCTAAAACTTAACCAATGAACATTTTGTACTCTGTTACATTAACATTATGCATTCTGTATTATACTTTGAATCCCATTCATGATTCTGTAAGAACTGCATTGGTTGTTTGGAAATTTTTGTTCAACAAATTATGTAGCTCTTTCCAACTGTTTGGCGCATTTTGAGGTAGCGAACGACATCAATAAAAAATGCACATTCACTTGATGTATCACCATCCCCAGTCGGTGTATCAGGAAGGTCTATTCTGTCTGACTGGGGCGAAAGCTAGAAGATACAGAGTTTTCGTGGAAAATTCCCATTTTGCTGAAAGCTTCAAACTTTTAGTGGACTGCCACAGGAATGGAATCATTAAGGCGCATTTTCTTTGATTGGGTCACTTGTGTAGATTTTCAAGCAAAATTATCTGCCTAAATTTCCGTTCAAAAAAAAACGAAAATTTTCTTTTAAAAATTTTTTAATAATGGGGTTTGCCAGTCATTCTTTCAGCCCAAAAAAGATTGTCTTTTTGGAACACCCCAACCAAGCGCAACCACGTGGGCTAGTTTCAGCTTGTAATATCCAAGTGAGACACAAAGAACAGTGCCTTTCTGCGCTTTGTCAACAGTACTGTTTTTTCGGATTAGCAACAGAAGTGCTCTTGAGCATATGTCCCACTCCTCTCACAAAATAGCCAGGCGTGGTGACTCACACCTGTAATCCTAGCTTATTCAGAAGGCAGCCTGGGCAAGCAGTTTGAGAGACCTGTCTCAAAAACCCTTCACAAAAAGTAGAGGGCTTGTGGAGTGGTTCAAGGTGAAAGGCCCTGAGTTCAAGCCCCAGTACTGCAAAAAAA